TGCGAACCGAATTGGTTCGCAGGTGCGAGTGGAGAAGTCTGCATCGGTTCCTGGTTCCGCTTGTAAGCCATGTTAAGCCTGTGTGCAAGTCTCAAAAGACCAGGCCAGCGGCGAGTTGAGATCTAATACAGGGTGGGTTCCTGCTCCTGGCTAGGTCGGGTCCAAATCTATGCCCCAAACTTGAGTTTACCTGCGGTCTGCTGCGGGACATACAAGAAGATTATTCGGCCGGATCTACCCCCGATCAGGAGAGCTTGCCATCACTGTGCACTCCCACACCTCGTGACTCACAGGCCGTGGGCAGAGGGATGAGGATGCTGGTCCTGGATGTGTACCCTTCGCGATTCGCCAGGTCACATCGAGACGGCAGATGCCCTACCGCTGCATCCGGCTGAACATCTGCCTGGTGCTGGAGCGCATCTGCAGCAGCATCCCTCCTGGGGGCCCGGCTTTGTTCGAGGTGCCATGGACATTAATTATGCCATTATTTGCACCTTGCAGAATCTAAAGTGGCACTCAACTGTCCTAGCTTCCCGTCACTTAAAGATCTTAAAGAGCAGAATGTCGAGTCGCATGTTTTGAGCTTGAGGTCCCGGTGAGCCAAATCTACGAGATGCTTCAGGCATCATGCTCTCGAGCAGGCGCAGCAAGGAATGTTAGGCAGTTCTGGTGTTCTCCAGGCAGGCGGTAGTGTGGAGATGGTTTCCACCACTGGCAGAAATGACTCAGTCAGGTGCATGTTCCTTCGCCTTCGGCAAGCCCAGCGACGAGGCCGGTGAGGCCGAGGAGGAGGTGGCTTGGCCCCAGGCCGGGGTAGCACCTTTCCAACGATGCAGAGAGCACATCAACAAAAACCACTTTCAGACCTCGCGGCTTCTGGGCTGCCTGGCACCTCGACGCGCTGCTGCACTGCGGCGCCTGGCGCAGCGGCTTTGGCGCTGTGCCGGCCGGGGGGGAAGGAGAATGTGGAGAATTCACGAGACGGTAGGGGGCATGTTGTGGTTGTGGCTGTTGTTCAATTGGACGTTTTTACGCTCGTGATTGCAGGTGTGCAGCGCTGTGTCTGTGGAGCTGACAGCGGCCGTGCAGACGACCCTTGCAGCCCCTGCACCTTGCCCTGTTGGGCTTGGGCGCTCATCTGATTCAATTTACCAGCACAGCTGAAGACTGCCTGCTCAGAGCTACTCGACACTCACTTGCCGCAAGCCGCGCATTGCTGAGCCAAAGGCACATGCGTTGATGATGCCACTGCCGCATGCTTGTGGCGGCTGCTTGCAGAACACGCGCGACAGGTGCCTTCAAGCGAGCTGCAGGAATGCTTGAACGGTTGTGTGGCTTTAAATCGTACTGCCTCAGTAGCGGGAGCAACATATGGTTTTGGAATCAGACCACGTCATCAGCAGTCATACCGTGCAGGTGTTGTTCTAGCTTTTGGCAGCAGTCATCGTGTTGAGTTGTCGTTGCTGCTCTTGTGGCATTTTAGTCGTACAGAACTCGCCATCGTCGTCGTAGTCTGGTGGCGGTAGTCGCGCTTTTCTGGCAGTGGCGGTATGCTGGTCGGGGTTACCTTTGCCTTTTGCTTGTTGTTTCTCTCCCTCTTGTTCAAGCGAATCTCGTGAATAGTCTGGCATGCCAGTCCACACTTTGGGCACCAACTTGCTGTGGAGAGGTGGAGTTGGTGCTAGCCAGCAGCTCGAAGCAAGTGTCCGTCGCCCAGCATCATGCGCTTCGCACTGTCTTGATTTCGAAAGTATCCGCCGCATAGCCCCATAGCCTCACGAAGTGCTGGCGGACCCCCTTACAGGGTCGCTTAGCGAGCTTTCGGGTGCGACTGAGAGTCAGTCAATGCGAGCTTGGTGCTTGAGTGTCTGGAGGCCTTGTCCGCATTTTGCTGCAGACTTGCCGGAGGCACGTCCCGGAATGGTCAGAGTTATGGGCTTTGAGCAAGGGTTGTGGAGACTGGTGAGGGGCATTCAGTGTTTGGGGTTGCAAGATGCCGCATGGTCCTTGCTGCAGTGAAAAGGGTGTCTAGAGTCTGAGGGTGCTTCAGTCTTTGAAGTCTTTGGACCGGCCCCATCTGCGAAGTTGATGCCTGTGTGGTCGCTCCAGTACGGCAGGTGTACAGGCATTGTTTAGGTGCAGGGATTGGATGCTCTGGTGCCTCTTGCAGTTGAGCCAATTGAGGAGTCCAGCGCCGAAGTGGCTGCGGCAGAAGGCAGCCGCGGCTCACGTAGCATCTTGCTGAGAAACTTCCAGACAATACTTGCAAAATGCCTTAGTCGTCCTGCAGGTTGCCAGGTTTGTGATGCCCGTGCAAGACAAGCCAGCTTCGGCATAATGTTCACTAGGAAGCACATCTGGCCATGATTGCCAGTGCGCAACTTGCTTGGCTCAAATGGGCTGCGCAGGTGCGTCCCCTTGCCTACAGGATATGGAGGCCAGGACTTGTTCTTCCCGCTCAGCATCTCAGATGAACAGTTGCAGCCCTTCCGTGCCTTGTGCCTGATACCCACATTTAGGTGACCTTTGAATTTAGCGCCCGCACAGGATTCCTGCTCTGCACAGAAGTTTCTGCAGAGGCGTGGAGCCTGGTGGAATCGCTGTGACATGCTCTGGATAGCCTCGACAGGATTCATGAAACGACGAAAGGGTGAAATCAAGCTCCGACCAGTGTGTGGCGCTTGCCATGTAGCTCTTTCTGCTACTGGCTATGCATACTTTTCTAGTTAAGTTCTATGTCACATGGTGCAGCACCAAGCACATCATGACTCGGAGAGGGGATGTAAAGAGGGTCCTAGAATTGCCACGACGGGTTCCAAGCAGGTAGGAGGGCGGAGGTGGGGGGAGGGCTCACAGATTGCGGTCTCCAGCAGTTCGGGCAGGTCCCACAGAGGAAGGGAGGAAGGTGGCGGGGAGGTGCCCTACAAGTTTCCGGTTAAAGGGGAAGGGGTCGGAGACCAGAGCCTGTTCTGCTTCTAGACCCGCCCTGAGTTGGCTCCGTCAACATCATAGCTTGCGCAAAAAAGTCTTAACCCAAGCCGCAAAATCAGCCCTCAGATGAACAGATCCAACGGTTTGTAAGTTAGGTTGCGCTTGGACACCTTCTTATCCTTCCTGGCGGCCGCTCTCCGCCAGCTGCTGTGGAGATTGAAGGTGGACACTTTACGGGTGTTGTGGCTGTTGGTTTAGTGCCAGTGCTGATTGAGCCGCATTGGCGCAACTTCTGCTGGTTCTGAAGTCTCGCAGGCCAATCTGAAAGCCGGTACTGCTGGCCCTGAGGTTACAAGGCGGGGAAGGTTGACGCGGGATAGTAGCACATTGGATGGGCCTTGATTTTTCTTACAGGATTCTCGGGCAGATCTGCCAGGACATCCTTTTTACCGCTTCTCAGCTTGTTTTGTGGCCCTGGTGGAGCCCTCGGAATTCATGGGAGGAACCTTCAGCTTCAGCTGGCGAGATCCCTTCAGCTTGCTGCGCAGTACTTGCGCCGCGCGCCTGGCAGGATCGGAAGAAGAAGAAGAAGAAGAAGAAGAAAAAGAAGAAGAAGAAGAAAAGCCGTTATGTTATAAAAGTTATAAAGCATATTGCTGCAAATGTGCATATCATGTCATACATACATAGATATATACATACATGTAAAACAAAGTTTACTATCTCAATTTTCGTTCCCATTTGTTACTAATATTGGGTAACTGTTTTACATGGTATAGTGTTATAGATTATGAAGTCAAGCAACGCCCCATCCAAATGCGTGGGCCAGAGGAACCCACCCTACCAACCACCACCCATTGACAACTCAGCTGAGCTTAATGAATTTCTCAAGTGGTGGATGGCACTTAGAGTGCAGTGGTCGCACGAGCACCTGGCAAAGAAGTTTTCCGCAGGGATTCCATGGTCTGGTCGACAGCTGTCGAGTTTAAAGTCTACTCCTGAAGTGTCCCTGTTCCTGTGCCGATGCAATCATGAGGGCACGCATCAGGGAATTTCAATGTTCTCCTTTGGCAGGCTGCTTCCGCACCTTGCAGCCCAGGGACTGGCAGCCCCGCTTGTGGCGCTGAAGGAGCTCGAAGTTCGCTCGAAGTTCGGTCGAAATATTCACTTGGCTCCCCCCGACTCACCCCGCGCAGTCCCACTCTCATCCCACCGCGTCCATGAGTCGACGACCTCCAGGGCCACTTGGCGTCCTCAGCCTGGGGCCCCCTGGCCGCGCCGCCGCGAGGTGGGTCATGGTGGGTCATGGTGGGTCGGAAATCTGCACCTATCAGCTTTCCTTCAAGTGAAGGTTAACGTTTGCCGAGTCTACTGGTCTGATTGATCGTTACAACACTTCTTCTCTGACCATGACCATGACTTCATTGGCATGAGGGAGGCCCTCTGGAGCTGATGGAGCTCAGAGCATACGCCGTAAGGCATCAGGGCTGCCTCAGCACCCGCACTCACGCCCTCCACAGGTGATGCACAGACATCCTGTGCTTTGCGGCTCTGGGCTGCGTACTTGGAGCTGCCCGGTATTGGTTTTATCTTCGCCTGAGAGAATTTTGTAGACCAGCTTATGGAACTTAAGGGTCTTCTGGATTGCCGCCTGCCCCATGTACAAGAGAGGCGTAGAGAAGAAAGGGTAAGATGCGAATGTGTTAATTGGAGCACTGCCGCTGTGGGCACCGCGTGCACTGCATTGGCTTCCCTGAAAAATGGTCTTCGATTCTTTGATATCCGTCGTTTGCTTTGAAATGTATGCCTTGATCTTCGAGGTGTTGCCCGGAGAGTGCCTCTACAAATGCAAAGATAGTGGTGGCTTGTGTGTTGTCCGCTATGAAAGCTTCTCGAGGGTCCCTTCATCTGCTAACTTATATCCTTCCCACCCTTCATATTGGTGGCATGTTTGGAGTTTCCATGGACTTCTTTCTCCCAAGCCCTCTTCGAGTTTCGTGACAACGGATCCACTCTCCGGTATTCGCTGCAAGCTCTTTGGGGGGTCTCGTCTTCGGTCTCCTTCTGTCCTCTTTCACTGTCCCGTTTTCGGCTTCTGGCTGTAGAAGCTGCACCTTTTCAGCCACTTGTTGTTTGTGTTTTGCCGGTAAGACGGGCCTTAGAGTCTGACGTCTGAAGCCAGGCAACCCCCGTGCTGCAAGAAAGCCTGGGCCCTTTGCCCTCGACATACTTTTGCATGTCCTGCACCTCATGGTTCCCTTCGCAACGAAAAACCTCGTGTTTTGAAAACACCGAAACACATTGGCACAGACCAAACGGCACAGAGTTGATGCTTAGCGCTGAGCACTTCCAAGCTGAGCTGCAGCCTATGACTCTGACAGGGACCACGTTATTTAATTTCTTCTGGTGCAGGTTGATGGCCTTCTGGTTTTGCAAGGTCCTAGGGTCCTAGAGCAAGCATCCAAGGCTCGTTGGCGCACTGCTTCAGGGGGCTGTGCGCTCAGGTGAGGGACCGCGACTTGTCAGGTCACATGTGCGTGTCAGACCCTGCCATTCTACAAGTATGCTTCCATGCCCCATACTGAAATTCAGGAATGTGCTTCCACAAACCTTCCACAAACGGTCAAAGTTTGGGTACTGAATGCCATGCTTATGGTTTCGGGGCCTTCGCGAGCTGATGGGTCGGCTGCTGGGGCAGGACTTCGTTCATGCAGGTTGCAGTCCCCGCAGTGTGCTTTCCTGGTACATCCTGGTACAACAGTGCCATGGCAAGAGCCTCTCCTCAACCCTCTAGCGGAGAGCTCTCCTGTAACAACAAAAGCTTGCCGGCTGCGGGCGTGGCTGGACTGCTGGGCGGTTGGGGCAGTGTGGGGGGCGGGGGGATGGGGAGGGCAGGCCGGGGAATTGTTTACACAGGAGCAGTAAGATCCCCAACATGACATAAGGGTGCATGGGGGGTGGACACATGAAAAAGGGTGCAATGGTCGAGACGTCTGCTGCGATAACGGTGGCCATGGCGATAGAGAGGCGATAGCTGATAGCGCGCTGCCGAACCGGAGCAATTGCTCATGGCCAATGGTGGCGCCAGAGTTTCTTTTTTCGAGTTTTTGTTCATGGTGGTCATGCTACTGGCCCCGAGCATGTTTATTTTCCGGTTGTTACGCTGTCAGCTTGCTTGTGGTTTTAACGGCCGTTTAGCCTGGTGGGGAGGAAGGTTTCATGACCCTATATTTGTGATTCCCCAAGGGTGTGCAAAGCACAAACGATTCCGAGGCATATGTTCATTATGTTCTTGAGCTAGAGAATGTCTGTTCACGCAGGTGCTGTCGGCTGTCAACTGGCCCATTTGCTCATGGTGATGCTGCTGGACTTCCCATGTCCACTTGGGCAGCGGACGGCCATGCCTCTTGTCCCAAAACGGATGCTGCACCCAGAGGGCAATGGATGATTTTGTTAGTCAGGGTTTGAGGTTGGCTTTTGTTTCAAGACGCATGCCAGCTTCAAAATTACATCCAAGAAGTGTGCCATGCACACCGGTAGTCTCGCAGTGTGCCCTGCATGAAGCTTTTTGTGATGCAAGCCTTCTTGCGCTTTTTGCTGCCTCAGGCTGAGCCTTCCCTCCGCCCGGGCTTTCAAGATGCCAAGCTCGCGCTCGCCTGCGGAGTCCTCCACGGAGGTGCCGATGGCGCCGATGCTTTCTGATTTTTTCTGTCCAAAACACATTGCATTGGCCCTGGACTTGCTCATTGTAACTCATTGTGTGGAGAGATGCAAACGAAAGGTGTGATGGTGTGACCGCCTGCAAACGTCACGCAGTAGTGAACAATTGACTTTCTTCGCAAAAGACGGCGCAGGCTGCGTAGCTGCAAGATCCAGGGCCAAGGGCCCAGGCGCACATGGTTGTGTTGAAAGCGTTCTTCAGGCACCACGACCTCCAAGCGGACTTTTTGCCTCGCTCTGCGCTGGGCCAGTACGCTGGACGCTCAGTGCACTCAGAAGTTCCACATCTTCGTTGCTCCACCCTCGCCACCGCAGCTGGAAGTGTGGGCCCTACTCATGCCTGAGTTTTTGCCCGCTGGGGTATACACTCAGGGATCGTCTAGGTGGACCGCCACAGATCCAACATGAGAAGTGAGACAAGCGGAGAAACAAGGCACAAGAAGCCCGGCAGACCCGTCCAACATAAGGGAGACACAGGGAGAGTGGAGACACAAACCACACGGCGCGCGCACCCTCTTAGTTTCAATTGGCTCCGAAATATGTGAGTGCATGTGGGTGCATGTGAGTGCATGTGTGTGCATGTGTGTGTGTGTGTGTGTGTGTGTGTGTGTGTGTGTGTGTGTGTGTGTGTGTCTGTGTATGTGTGTGTGTGAACCCGTGTGTGTGTGTGTGTGTGTGTGTGAGTTGTGTGTGTGTGTGAGAGAGAGAGAGTTGTGTGTGTGTGTGTGTGTGCGTGCGCGGGCATGTGTGTGTGTGTGTGTGTGCATGTGTGCATGTGTGCATGTGTGCGTGTGTGCGTGTGTGCGTGTGTGCGTGTGTGCGTGTGTGCGTGTGTGTTTGTGTACGTGCGCATGTGCGCGTGCGTGCACGGTGGAAACAACCCGATAAAGAGCAAAGACGGTAAACATTGGTAGTGATTAATGAACATCATGAATTAGCTTCTCAGAGCAGCGTAGCATTGGGACTGGCAACCAGGCAAAGTACTTTAGTGGAGGCAAGAGCACGCTCTGCCCGCTTTTGTGATTCATACATGTCGAGCTATTAGAAGTAAGCACGTCGGTCCGAGGTGCGGCTGGCACGAACAAGACCCCGTCCAAGGCGGCCGATCACCTGAGAGATGTTGAGAGAGGAGACGGTTTTGGACAAGGTGCATTTATGTAAATGAGTGTTCTACAATGTTCAACAAAGGCTAACCATGGCTCACCGATTTCGGCTTCGGTAATGGGGCACCTGCATGAAGGCCTCAAGCTTCTGGGACAGCCTGCCCAAGATCGCACATGGCTTAGAGCGAAGGCTGGTGGCAGTGACAAACCGAACTAGCAACTAGCAGTCGCACCACATTACTGTGGGGCAGTGGAAGTGAACTCCGAGGTCGAGCGGATCTTCCAAGAGAAGACCGAACCAATTAGCAGTGGACCCAGGAAGCTTTCGGAAAGACAGAAGGATTCAACAAACATCCACCTTAGGATCTGGTTCTGATAAGCCTGGAGGCAGCGCAGGGATCTGGTGTGCTTTTGTGGCAGATCAGCAGAGATTCCAAAGCATTCAAAGCTGTCACTAGCGGAAGCCCAGAACTACGTGCATGCAGGCCGCACATTTTGCACGTTCGCGTGTCTGTATGAAAGTCTCCAAGAGTTGCCATGGGTGCACGGAAGAAGAGAGCGTTAGTTCAAGCAGAGAGTGAAGGCCCATGCTCAGGCCCTGAAGTACTGCTGCTGGGAGAGGCCAACTTTTCCTTTGCCTTGGCTTTGGCGGCTCTGCTCGTTCCGCCCAAGGAGGAGAAGCAAGGCCAGCAAGCCTTGGCTCCGGATCTGCAGGCGCAGCTCCAGGCAAAGCTTGAGGAGGGTTACCAGGAGAGGCTCCGCGTTGCCTCGGCCTACTTGCACCTGCCTCCAGACATCTGCCGAAACTTACGGATCACTGCAACGTGCTACGAGACCTACCCGGAGCACAGGTTGCAATCGAGCAGAATCGATCATATTGCCACTGCCGCAATGCCCCTTTTTCTCTTGTTCTTGGGTTTACCTCTTTTATTTGGAATGTTTTGGAACATTTTGGAACTGAGGAGTTGGTTGAGAAATACCCGGAAGCAGCCGGCATTCTCTCACGGCTTCGTGCCTTCGAAGAGTGGGTGGAAGTAAGGTTTGCTGTAGATGCTTTGCGGCTTGCAGAGTGCTTCAAGGGCAAGTGGGATGTCGTGGCCTGGAACCATCCGCATCTTGGCACAGAGGATCTTAAGCTACATGGTTACTTGATGGCCCATTTCCTGAACGAAGCAGTCAGATCTCTGCGCCCGAACGGGGTTGTCGTATTGGCACTGCTGGAAGGCCAAGAAAAGCGATGGGAGCTCCTAAGACATGCCTCTACACAGGGGTTCGATGTTCGTGAGGCCGGGCCCTTTGAAACCGCAGCCTTCCCTGGCTACGAATGCAAGCGCAACAGCTCCGGGAAATCCTTCAAAAACTCACATGTGCAACGCACCACAAAAGCACCGATGGAGAGCTGGCTGTACCACCTGCACCTGGGTGCTCTTGACTCACGTGACTCACGTGAAGCTGAAGAACTTGAGCTCCAAGCGGCACCAGAAGCTGCAAGACCATCCCGGCAATCTCGACCATCTCACAAGCCTGAGTCTTCTGCTGTACTCCGATGCACGGAGTGTGGAAAGGTGTTCTCATGTACACAGGGTTTGAAGACCCATGTGAGACAGGTCCATGAGCTAAAGAAGTATGACCGGTCTAGAGGCATACTGAGTTGCCAGACATGTGGCAGGGCTTTCCAAGACTCAGAGGCCTTAACTCAGCACAACCTGGCGGCCCACAGCGGTGACTCAGTCGGCCGAAGCAGGCCAAAAGTTGGCTATGGCTACGATGGCCACAGAGCTTGCCAGGTTTGTGGCATGATGCTGCCTTTTGGCACCTCCAACGCAGCCCATTTGCAAGCCTTGAGACCCGCAGTGGACCTTCCTGTCAGCTGCCCTTGTGGCCGCTCCTTCGTAGAGCCCCGGGCCTTGGAACAGCACCAGCGCTTCTGTTCGACTGCAGCCTCCGCATCCGCACAGTCAGCAAAGCCGGCTTTTGCTGCCCACCTAGCGGCACTGCTGCGAAATTTATGTCCCTGCTGTGACGGCATGCAGAAAACAGGGCTCGTGTGCATTGGAACACACTTGTTGTACCGGCATCATGTCTCGGGCTGTCCAGTTGTTCACGAGATGCTTGCAGTAGGAAGTCTTCAACGTTGCGAGGGTTCATATCCTGCAATTCACACATGGTCAGCATCTTGGTCCGTAAGGCCTGTGCCTGGGCTTTGTTTGGAATTAAGTCGGTTCGGTTGGTTGGTGCCTGCGTAAGAAAGCATCTGCACCCACGTGGAAATCACTGTACCCACGAATGCGCGCCTCAACCGTGTAGAATGGTATGGAAGTGCAAGCACAGCTTCTAGCGCCCCCCTTCCAAAAAGAACTCCGCAAAACTCTCCTTAAAAGCTGTTGGTTCTTACTTGCCGGTGATTTTTCGATCGAGGATGAAAAGCAAGCAGGGTCCGCTGTTTGAGGTGCCGTGCACAGCTGATCCCAATATATCCCAACACACTTTCCTGACAGGGATACCTCGGAATGCCCTTCGTGAAAGCCGCTCAGGTTTAGAGACTTCGCAATGCTGCACGCTGTTCTTCGTGGAGGACTGCCGGTGCAGAGAGCGACCCTGTAGGTGCTCTCTTGACATCTCTGCCACATGCTTGGCGAGTAATCAAGCTGCATGAGGCTTGGACCATAGAGACCGAGACCAAGCCTTTTGAGATCCCCAAAAGCTTGGAAGGCCCTGCTGGACTTCGCAAAGGCCCTGCCAAAGCGCAAGGCAGGTGGAACTTGCAATTGCCATGTTTTCTGTCCTGCTGCAATAGTGTTGCAATCTTGACCCTCTTGGGGGATAGCACTCGGCTTCGGTGTTCCATGACCAAGGAAACATTTCAACGGAGGCACCCCGCACATTGCAGGATACGCGTTGTTCTTCACCATTTTTTCGCTGCAAAGCGTGTGCGGTCAACGAAATGACATGGCTGGACTTGCAGTCACATTTACGACAAGTTTATGCCCGTTCTTTCGGGGTGTTCTTGCGTCGAGATCCGGCCATGCCCTTGACGACAAACTCTCGGCTTGACAGCTCAGGCTGCTGATGGCTTGAACAACTTTAATATACTCCGAGGCCAGCCTGGTGTGGTGCTTCGTATCACTTGGCGCGCATGGAAGGCAGGCGCCCTCGAACTTTGAGCGCCACAGGTCTTGTGTGCTTAGTGGGCGATCCTCTGACGTGCAGCAGCGAGCTTGTCCCGTGATGATCGATTTTGCCTTGACAGCTATGGCTGAATGAGGGCCACAGCAACTTTAACCATACGCTCTGAAAAGAGTTGCCCATTTTCGTGCCTTCGGCGAAACCACGACTTGAAAGTGCTCCTCCTTCGGGTGTTCTTGCGTCGAGATCCGGCCATGCCCTTGACGACAAACTCTCGGCTTGACAGCTTAGGCTGCTGATGGCTCAAACAACTTTAATATACTCCGAGGCCAGCCTGGTGCGGTGCTTCGTATCACTTGGCGCGCATGGAAGGCAGGCGCCCTCGAACTTTGAGCGCCACAGGTCTTGTGTGCTTAGTGGGCGATCCTATGGCGTGCAGCAGAGAGCTTGTCCCGTGATGATCGGTTTTGCCTTGACAGCTATGGCTGAATGAGGGCCACAGCAACTTTAACTATACGCTCTGAAAAGAGTTGCCCATTTTCGTGCCTTCGGCGAAACCACGACTTGAAAGTGCTCCTTCTTCGGGTGTTCTTGCGTCGAGATCCGGCCATGCCCTTGACGACAAACTCTCGGCTTGACAGCTCAGGCTGCTGATGGCTTGAACAACTTTAATATACTCCGAGGCCAGCCCGGTGTGGTGCTTCGTATCACTTGGCGCGCATGGAAGGCAGGCGCCCTCGAACTTTGAGCGCCACAGGTCTTGTGTGCTTAGTGGGCGATCCTATGGCGTGCAGCAGTGAGCTTGTCCCGTGATGATCGATTTTGCCTTGACAGCTATGGCTGAATGAGGGCCACAGCAACTTTAACTATACGCTCTGAAAAGAGTTGCCCATTTTCGTGCCTTCGGCGAAACCATGACTTGAAAGTGCTCCTTCTTCGGGTGTTCTTGCGTCGAGATCCGGCCATGCCCTTGACGACAAACTCTCGGCTTGACAGCTTAGGCTGCTGATGGCTCGAACAACTTTAATATACTCCGAGGCCAGCCCGGTGTGGTGCTTCGTATCTCTTGGCGCGCATGGAAGGCAGGCGCCCTCGAACTTTGAGCGCCACAGGTCTTGTGTGCTTAGTGGGCGATCCTATGGCGTGCAGCAGTGAGCTTGTCCCGTGATGATCGATTTTGCCTTGACAGCTATGGCTGAATGAGGGCCACAGCAACTTTAACTATACGCTCTGAAAAGAGTTGCCCATTTTCGTGCCTTCGGCGAAACCACGACTTGAAAGTGCTCCTTCTTCGGGTGTTCTTGCGTCGAGATCCGGCCATGCCCTTGACGACAAACTCTCGGCTTGACAGCTTAGGCTGCTGATAGCTTGAACAACTTTAATATACTCCGAGGCCAGCCAGGTGTGTGCTCGTGGCGTGGCAGCTATGCGCAAACCGGAAACGAGCCCGACAGCGAATACTTAAGGTGCCAGGAGTTAGATGCTTGATCCGATATTTCGATTCGTTTTGTTGCTGCGCTTTTTGACTGTCATATCACTTGGGTCAGTTGGGGTGGAGACATTTTCGATTAGCAAAGCAAAGCTCGATGTGTTTTAGCCGGCTTGAGATATACAGAACCAAGCAAGTCGCCGCAAGTCGCCTGTTCAGGCCATGATTCTTCAAGTAACCTAGAATTTTGACTTTGTGCATCTGCTTTTGGCTCTGAAGTAGAGGCTGACAATGGACCTCTGCAGAGTCGTCCCTGATTAGGCGGACAAAGCCAGCATGTCTTCGCGAGGGACCAAGCGACCGGTCTCTGTCTCGGACGCTTTCCGGATGGAAGAGGAGACGTCATTTGTGCCCAAGGATGCAAAGGTTTCGCGAAATCTGGGATCCCAGTCGGGCCACCCGGATCCCTTGCGGCACGATGGCTCCATCTCCACGCCGGTTGCCGGCTTGCCCGGCTCGGAGAAGTGCGAGAACGAGGCTGAGGCTCTGGCAGTCACGCGACGCACCTCCTTCGATCACAAGGCAGAGGCTCCGGCGGTGAGCCGAGCCTCCTTTGACCAGAAGGCCATGAGCGTGAAGTCAGCGAGCCCAACCAGTGAGAAGCGGCCGGAAAAGGCCAAGCAGGGCTTTTTCGTGTGCTGGCTGTGCAAGCGCAGGTTTGACACCTACGAAAAGTTCGACTCCCATGTGCTGTACAGCAGGCTGCACCAGGAAACAATCCGACAGCTTGCAGGACTCGCGTAGGATGTCCACAGGCCTAGCATGCTTGATCCTTACAAGAAGATAGATGCTGCCAAAAAATGTCGCCGCATGCAACAGTTCGAGTATCGCTCAGGAAAAAACAGGAGCCTGCATCTTGACCCGACAACTTCGCAGACCCCTCGACCATCAAATTCCGAAAGCCTTAGGCCGCTCTTAGCCCATTGCCGCCTCCGATGTTGAAGCGCCTTAACCTGTGAAGTCCCGTGAAGCGTTGAAGCGTTTCACTTGTGCTGGGAGTGCCTTTAGCCAGGAGCGCAGTGGCCCAGACGCCAGGCTTGGAGCTGTGGAAATGTGGCGACTAAGACTCTTCATGAGAACATCTCCGAACCATGCCCAGGTCCAACGCAGACTCCAGCGGCGCTGCAGCCTGAGCGAGGACATGACATCTCTTCCGCAGCTTTAGAAGATTTTGGCAGATTTCGATCTAGAGGTGTCTGGAAAGAGGGAAGGGGTCCGAGTCGCGTTGAGGTACTGTGATTTGGCGCAATGTCCGCAGTTCGGACATTCGCTGAAGACGGAGGGGTATCAGCCATGCCAGTGCTTCCGATGTCCTCAGCCCTCCACCAATGACCAGCTGATGCTGCCGATCAGCGTCCGCTTGCGTCTCCGGCTTTGCAGCACGGTAGCTTGAGTAGCGATGCCGACCGTAGGTGGTTGCATGTGCTGCCAGGTGTGTCACATGCTCAGGTTACAAGCCTTCAGCAGTATTCGGTGAGGGTTCTGCACCGTTGGGCCCCCTACACACACTATCAGCCCGAATGGTATTCTGTCAGACTCTGGGCCAGCTTAAGAAGTAGTGGTCGAGAGAAAACATGTCCATTGATACATGAACAATCACAACAGAGAGGGCTGTTAGCTGTTGGTACGTGTGTGTGTGTGTGAGCGAGAGAGAGAGAGAGAGAGAGACTGTGTAGTGTGTGTGTGTGTGTAGGAAAAGCTCTGCTGTTTAAGGCGCCGCATGCCAAAGTTTCAAAGCCGGAGCTCTGATGGCGACCTTGACGGCCCTCACGGCCTCCGTCACCCGCCATGAGGCCGGGCTCCACGTAAAGTTCGAGAATCTGGCGGGGAAGACCGTGTGCGAGGTGAGCCTGGCTTCGGGCTCGACCTTGGAAGACCTGGAGAGCCGCCTGAAAGCTGACTTGGGAATAAGGACAACTCAGGTCGATGGAGGGACAGTAGATGACGAGGCCTTCCACATCTTCGCGCACCCCTCCCACGAACTGCTGGAAAAGGGCGAGCGCGCGGATGCCCACGCACAGCTCACCTTCAGCAGAGACATGTTTGTCGCCGCCCGAAAGTTTCTGGCTGCTATGGCTGTCAAGGCCTTTTCCCCGACCTCGCCAGCGTTTGATGCGAAGTGGACTCTGCGGCAGGCCGAGTACGTGACGTGGGCAGAGGTGGAGCCGTTTCTGGGCAGCTTTGAACTCTCGGATCTGGCGAAGGCGAAATTCCTGCGCGTGTTTCAGAGCCTCACGGTGCAAGGCGAGGCGTGGTATATGTTCAACCGGCTTGGCAATTGCGGTGGGGGCTTGCGGCGGGTGAAGCATGGGTTCTGTGAGCACTGGCTCCGGCTGGCAAGGGAAGCGGCCACTAAGCGGGTCGCACGCCAGCCCTCGTGCCTGTTTCTGATGCTAAAGAATGAGCACGGATCTGAACCCACGTGCATCGGTGCAGATGCCCAGTTTCCGGACAATTTCGGTCAATATCTTCGGGAAGCAATGGCTCTTAACGAATATCTTCCTACACATGCCTTGCGCTCCCTGATGCTTGCCGTCGCGTCCCTGGACTGGGGTCCTCAGCTTTCGCCCGCGCCGTCGACCGTGCTGCCCGCCATCGAAGATGCGGAGCGTCTGGGATCTCCGGCCCCAA